GGCATTTTTGAATACTTCGCCATCACAACCATCATTGTATTGACGTCATGGTCATCATAACCACTTTCTTAAACGACTTTGAGATGTGCAAAGTTGTGAACATCTAAGCATGGCTCCAATTTTCAAGGATAACATGGGCCATAAAAATAAATCGCTTGGCCCAACCCCTTGGAGAGATACACATGTACCACGATTAATTTCAAATGTCAAGAAGAAAACTAAAAATGTTTCTCTTTATCCTTCTATAAATATTCGTTCTTCTTCATTTCTTCCTCTTTTCTTCCTTTCAACTTCTAAATTTCTCCAAAACTTTTAAACTTTCATCTTTCAGAAACACATAAAATACCTTTTCTCGCTAAATCATCTGCCATTTTCACCATGGTTGCTTACAAGTCAAAGAATTCAAAGGATCCAAAAAGCTCACAATAATCCCTACCTCTTGCTACTAGAATTTTGGGTACACTCATTTTTGGGAACCATGAGTACGTTCTCGAACCTACACTTCAAGAGAGAAGTTGTGCATCTAGAAATCCCAAGTATTAATCCATTTTTTATAGAGAAACTCACGCGCTTATGGGTCTGCAACCCGAACCTAAATCAAAATGCTGAGAAGTTAAGGGAATTCATCCCTGCTTACCACCGCACCAAACCCATAACTAGTATGAAAAATCCAATGGCTAGTGTGTATAACCTTAGTGCCAAATTCGTTGTTCAAGCAAAACCCTCTAAGGCTAAGCCCGTCGCTGACACTAAGAAACTTAAGGAAAAACTTGTAGCTGACGCAACGGATTCTAAAGATAAGCCTATTGCAAACACAAAGAATCCCATAGACTTAGTCAATATGAGCAACAACCTTCACGTGTTTCACTCTGCCCCTTTGATCAAGAATGTTGAAGAGTACATTTCTTGGCTAGAAAAAGTCGAAAAGAAGAAAGTCGAAACTTGGAAATACATGGGGATATATGACTTTATTCAGTTGTCGAAAGTAGGCCCCCTATTGACAAAACATGCTTGTCACTTCCTTGTATTTATAGGAAAGCACCACAAATACCTTCCAACTCCCTTGTGGTATGACCACACCAAAACTTTTCGACATAACGGCCTTCACTAGCCTTCGACCAACTGGGGAGATTTTGTACCCAAACAAAAGGAATGAAGACACCATTAGCTTCAACAGTGATTGCGCTATCTTTGGTCATTACATAGATGATCAAGAATATGAAGAAACAAGAAATGATCCTATTACTGTAAATAATTAATCACCTTTATGTCTGATTCAAATTGAAAAACTATAAATTTCTTGGCAAAGCATGCATCATCTTCACATAAAATGTTGTTGTCGAAAGGGGATATGCATCAGAGGACATATGTCCTTACAAATTCTATCAATTCAAATAACATAAAATATCGAGCAATGCTTTACTTCCAGATGAATAAGATAATAAAATAAGCAAACAAATATTTTTTATCTCCAGGTCATCATAGTTCTTATAGTACTCATTATTGTCCTGGATGCTGCCCGCAATTAAAGAACATATATAATGAAGATTACACTTCCAAAGGCTCAGAAAAAACAAAGACACACTATGTTGAACACATGATCAATTAGCTTAATTGTTAACTTTGGCATATATGACAAGTATAATGTTCGTAGACATGTGTGTGTACCATTCGTTTTCCCCATAGGTTTTGCAAAATTCACACTTATGATGCCCCATAAAACCACATTTCTCACTCTCACTTCCATCCACCTCATAATCACTCGTGTTTATGTGTTAATTTATCTGGCCTTGGTATATAGTTTTTGCTCACATATAAATACATATGTCATAAAAATGATGATATAAAGACTAAATGAATAAAAAAAGGATTGCACATTTTTCATTAAAAAAAGACATGGATTTGCTTTACCTTTCTCAATAGTACTTTGTGATATCAAGTAAAGTCAAAATATCTTCATTCTCCACCGCAAGTAGATGTCTAAATTTCCCTATTGGCATATATCAACTATGTGTTTAAAAGATAAAGATACACATAAGAAACTTCACTACTACAAAAATACATTTAATCTTGAAGGCGAAATGCATTTAACCTCGGCTAAAGAAGCGGCGTAATAAAGGGCATCATAAAAACCTGTAATTTTGCCATCGGTTAATACAAAACTGAGGGATTAAGTTATCTACACATGGTATTGAACCCCAACCCCTGCATTTTTATTATTTTCAAATCTAGTGCATCATACCTCTCGTTTTATCAATAAAACCAATGGGTAAGAGAGATTTATTTTTAAAACTCGTTACATTATTTACATTGAATATTAACAAATTAATTTGTTTACAAACTACATTGTTTACCCAGGATATTACATTGTTTATGCAGAATATTAAAATAAAAATTAATTTTCCTAAAGATCTGATTTTAGATATTCGAATCATTGAATTTTGGGGAAGAAAAAATGTCGGGTGCCTAATATTTTCAATTGCTTTTGTTTGCATTTGTTTTTGAAATAAAACAAAAAAAGAGTTAGATAAATAAATGATTTTCTGCTCAAATAAATATTTAAGAATACAAACTCTAAACTCAAACAAATTTTCTCCTCTTGCAATCTATCATAGATATCTTTTAATGACAAATGCTCTTGAAACCTTAGTGGTGAATGTAGATAGTTTCAAGCGCTTCACAATGTCTCATTATCAAATTTCAATATTCATAATGCTTTTATAATGGAATTTTTTTATGTTTCACGCGTATTACTAATGGTAGTGTCTTGAGCGTTGATACTTATGAAATGGACGGTAAATATTTGTTTAAGAACGGTGATCAACATCCTCAATAATCACGCTAAGTTATTCTCTCGCTTTTGACAGAAATCAAGGTAAAATATAAGTTACCTTGTAGAAACCCAAGGTATATAAGTTTTTTTATACATTACATTGTTTACACAGAAAATTAAAATTCATCATCACCACTGTTATTTCAGATTTTGTTACATATCTTGAATCAAGAATGAGCTTATAATTTTTTCAAAGGTTGAACTCTCTTCTTTGTTTAACTTGAATCAATAATGATTTTCTGTACTTGCAATCCATCATAGAGAAATTTTCTAACCTTCTTTAACTTGAAGCAAAAATTTCATTATTTTGAGCAAATGCTTTCACAAGAAAGAAAACAAAATATATAGTGGTGGATATAATAATTTGTTGTGGATTGATGTCTTTGCAATATCTTGAACGGTTTTCCTACGGTGGAGATTTGTTGGTGTAGCCGTGTAACAAGACCCCTTAATTTTGTAAAAAACAGAAGAGAAAAATATTTTCTTTTTTAATTAATAAAATAAAATAAGGAAATTCCCCTATTTTAAAAAAAATCGAGGTAATAAGTTTCAAGAAAAATATAATGAATGATAAAAAATTGAAAGTAACATGTCATGTTTCAATTTCAATTTTTTACCAGTCACCATTTTTTACAACATATTTAAGAATAAATTTCTCAATATTGTCGACGGAGAAAAACAATGATGTTTTATTTTATTGACAACATAGGAAAGTTATTTCAAAAATACAACAACAACACCATTATGTGAGATATATTACAAGGAAAGAAAAAATATTTTGTTCAAGATAGAAGAACACAAAACATTAAATATTTTTTCTATGTTGCAATTCATCCCAAAAAATAATGTATACGAGTTTTGAACGATTACATATAAGTTAGGATTATGGTAAAATCTGTTTAACGAGTATTTTTATAATAAAATAGGATTATTTTATCCCTCAATAATTATAAAAATCGAAGGGATAAATCATTTAATTTACATATATTATAAACTAAGAGAATATGTAATTTTTATTATATCTCAATTTTTTTAATTGATATAAAAACTTTATCATGAAATATATTTTTTAGTTACTGTGAAGATTCCACAAAATAACGTAACTAAATCATTACATATAATAGTTAATACGCATATATGAGTGAACATATATGAGTGAACAATCAAAGTGAAATTATACAACTGAAGCAACAATCACTTTTTTGACAATTTTATCAACTTCACCTTGATTCTGTTTAATTCCCATATTACAGACAATTCCGACGAAGGACAATCAGAGAGTAACAATCAATTGTTTGCCGATTGGAAACACTCCCCCTCAAGTGTGAGTCACAATGCTCCCTCTCATGTGGAATGACTCTCTTCCACATACACTTGTACCATCGCTCGATACAAGTAAGCTGGTCCCTATCTCGAAATCAAAGGCTCTGATACCACTGTAGGGGCAATTCCCCTCATGTGGAATGACTCTCTTCCACATACACTTGTACCATCGCTCGATACAAGTAAGCTGGTCCCTATCTCGAAATCAAAGGCTCTGATACCACTGTAGGGGCAATTCCCCTCATGTGGAATGACTCTCTTCCACATACACTTGTACCATCGCTCGATACAAGTAAGCTGGTCCCTATCTCGAAATCAAAGGCTCTGATACCACTGTAGGGGCAATTCCGAGGAGAGAGCATTTTTACTTGGGACACACCTTTGTGAGAGACACACCACTTGTTCATCTAAAACCTTAAGGTAATAGATGAGTGAGTTCTCTCATATATAAGTGCTCAATCTTCCCTTTTATAATCAATGTGAGACTTCTTCTTCACACTTGATTCTCAACAATCACGGCTTAATCGTTCATAATTCAATCAATTTTTGAACAAAGTAGACTAAAATTGTTCTCATTTTAATAAGGTGACAGATTTAGAGTAAAGGGTAAAAGAGAGTTTTCCACCTCATTTAATTTTCATATATTATAAATTTAAAGTAAAGTAAAGAGCAAAAGAGTTTTTTCGACATCATTTAATTTTCATATATTATAAATTTCGAAACATTTTCAATTTTATAATATTAAAAATTTGAGCTCAAGAGGAAAAACAAGATTTGAAATCATGAATGAGCGGAACATATTTTCAAACAAAAAACAAAAGGCGGGGCGTCGTTAGGGTTGCTGATGGCTCCTGATTTCTCAAAAAACATGGACCTGAATCACCTGCTTTCCTTAGGCAAAGACGTGGTTAGGGTTTTGGAGGATCCTACTGATCGTGACTTCAACGTCTTCTCCGAATGTCTCCTACGCACACTCCCCATTTCTTCAACCTGCCACTCCGATCTCAACGAAGCTGTCTCCTCTTTCCAAGGTCATCTACTTTTTTTCCCTTTTCGATTTTGAGCTTCGGTTTGTTCTTGATTTGTGATAATTAATAGTTGAAATTCACAAAGAATGATAGTAAGAATAAATGAGGATTATAGTAGTAAAATCCATTGAGTTTGTTGGGATAGTGTACAGAAAGATAGGGGAGGGCCGGTTTGGGAATATAAAGTTTGAGAGCTTTGAATTTAGCACTTCTTGAAAAATGGGTGTGGTGACCTATGTAGCACGGACACCTCGGAAAAAAGCGTGTTCGTGTCGGCGTGTCGGTACCGAACACCTGCATCGACACTTATTATTACATTTAATTTATTCATTTTTTCAAATTATTATGCTGTGTTAGTGTCGGGGTCCTGTTCAGGGTGTCCATGCTTCATAGGTGGAGACTCAAAGTAGACGGAGAACATTTGTGAGGAAAGATGATTGTGGCAAAATACGGACGCAAGATGGAGTGTGAGATCGGTATTTAATCTAACTTGTAGAGGGTCGTCAAAGCAACAGAAAAAGGCTTATGGGGATCTCGAAATAACTGGTGTTCGGATAGAATGAGAAAGGTAGTGGGAAGTGGAAGTGATATGTTCTTTTGGTTGGACAAATGGATTGGAGATGGTATCTTGAAAGATAGATTTATGAGATTGTATAGCATAGCGATTAGTAAATAACAAGGAGGTTAAGTTGAATGAAGTTTGTAATGTTGTTGAAGGAACACAAGAAAGGAAATGGAGTTGGAGGAGGAGGTTGTTTCAATGTGAAGAGAAGCTAATTTACGATGGCTAGATTTGACGATCAACGGAGATAAGAGGGTTGCTCTTTGAATGCTTACAAGGTTTGAGCAGCTTATAAAAGATGTAACAAATGATATGATGGAAGTTCCTGCCTCCTAGTGATAGTAACATGAAAGCATGGCATAAACATGCACTCCTCTAGATTAAGGTGTTTGTTTGGAGATTATTCCAAAATAAGATTTGTAGAAAGGATAATTTGTTACTGAGGGGGTCATTGTGAGGGATGCAACAACTTGTGTGAGTGGTTGTGGAGGGGAAGATGTAAAGCATCTATTTCTTGAGTGTTCTATATTTGGAGAAGTATAAGCTGGTGGATTGGGGTAAGCATCACCTTACACAGCGAAACCAAGTGTCAGTTTGATCAGTTTGCTGGTCTAATAAGTGGAGGTTGAATTGTTCAGCAAAGAAGCTTATTGATATGGTTTGGCTGTATTTGGATTATGTGTAAGAGTACAAGTAAAATGGTTTTTGAACGGAAATAATTTGAATTGGAGGAGACATTGGAAGCGGTAAAGATCACACTGTGGAATTAGTTGAAGGTCAAAATGAAAGGATTTGAGTCATATACACCTAAAATAAAGTTTATGAATGTGGTGCTGGTAGTCTTTTTTTGAGAGTTATTTTGCAAAAATCAGATGTTGATTAGAGATTGCCTTGGCGTTGTGTTCTGGTGTGCTTTTATTGTCAGAACTATGTTATTTGGTTGAATGGTGGGTGTATTCAGAATCCCCTGTTCTGTCTGATAGAATTACTGAATCATTATTGAAGGTGTATTTCAATGCAGACTGGGTGTTCTGTTTAAAATAGGTTGCTAATGGTGAAGCATGTAAGAGGTTCGTGGAGGGAAGCTTATTGTTGCCAACATAGAGGAGTTGAAGGTGTAGATTGTGGCGTGGCTATGTGTACGGATCTTAAACGAGAGGATTATTTGAACTTTTGTGGACAATGTGCTGTCATGCCAGCAACTTAATTCATATTGATATGCACATTGTGAACGTATGATATAACATTAAGATTTTATTGGATGAGGCACCTAGAAGGATTGCTGCAACTATGCCGTAGCCTAACAATGATAATTGTATTGGAGAATGGGGCCAGAACAAATAGAACTCTCGTCTGTATGCAGCCTATTTTTATTTGTATACATTGTACTTTTTACTTCTATAATTGATTTATTTCAACTGACTTGGCTTCGTCTATCCAATATTTCACATAGCATATTTTTTCTTCTTTATTCTATTTTGCGTGATCTGCTGTTAACAACACGGATCTAAAGTAATTCCTTTTAACTCATCTAGCATCTCATATTAATTCAATCTACTATGAGTAAATCTTCTTGATTGTATATTATGCACTTGACCAAAGCTTCTATGAATCAGATTATCAGAACAAAGTAGATTCCCACAAGCAGAAAATAGAGGATGTTAGATCCGAGACTGTTGCTGATGCAGAACTAGAGCTTCTGCAGAGAGAATTGGATGAAGAACTTGAAAAACAACGCTTGTTGAAAGAAGAGTTTAGATAAGTCTCTCTATTTGTTATATGTTTTTCAACTGCATGTTCTGTTTAGATTTTAATCTTTTCGAAATGATGTATCTCACCGTTTATGCTGCATCAACACAGCCATTAGCAACGGGTTTAATGATCTAGAACAGCAACAGATTTCTATCAAAGAGCAGAAAAAGAAGTTACTGAAACTCGAGCAAGAAAAGCAAAGGGAACGGTACGTGCATTGCAAAAATTGAATGTAGGATTATAAACTGGTCTGACATATGTATTGCTTTGCTTTGATATCTCAATCACGTATCTACCTTCTCAATTCCAATGGTGAAGTCAGTTAACTGTTCTAAACTGAAGATAGTTCTTGATTTTTTACATTTCCTATATAAATTAGAACATACATGTAATCTTCTATTTTGTTTCAGGATGCTACTTTCAATGTATGCTTCTGTCACCAATATTGTTCCAAACTCGGATGATCAATCGAAAATCTCAGGCTGTATCCTTTTGTTGTGTTTACCATTCTCTTTCCCCTATGTTTCTTTTCAGGTATTCTGTAAATGACATCATTTGTCCTTTGAAAATTACTAGAATTGCTTGCTCCTTAACCTTAATATCAGTTATTGTTGAAAAGGAAAAAAAAGCTGTGGAGAAATTTGAATACGACACGTCACAGATGACTATCCTTGAAGTATGTAACGACATCTGGAAAACAATAACTGATTGACGCATGTAAAAAATGCCTCTGTTGGACGACATTTGTAACTTAAAGTAATTTCTTATATTGAGTGCGATGTTAGGAATCCAACAATCACTTATTTATGAATGATAATTTAAATCGAGTGTTGATATTGAGCTGTAGACTACTAGGTTTCATTAGTGTATTTCATGTCAAGAACTAGATAGTAGATACTAGTTTGAATCTTAACATATTGCTTGGAATCTAATGGAAAAGTAAGAATTATCCAGCTGATTTATATTGCTCATAAATCTTTGTTCATCAGCAAATGACCTTGGAAGAGGCATTTTTTATCTCAATCCCATGTACATGATTTCTTTCTACCTCACTATCTTCCCCTACGCAATTTTGGTTTTTTCCTTTTCTTCTTCAAGTGAATTAGAAATTGTAGTTGTTTGTTCTGCTTCAAATATTATAATATAATATTCATAATTTCATTAGTCTAATTTACGTATAAAGAAATTTACATAATTATAATCAAAACAGGATGTTCATTAGTTAATAGATATGGATATTCGAAGATCCATTAGTGTTACTTTTATAAATGATTTTCAATATTTTTTAACCATTCTGGATGATTTTATTCAGTTTACTTTGATGTTTCCTATGCAAACCAAATGTGCGCCTAAACTCGATGTTCAAAATTTCATTTCACATGCTTCTACACAATTTTCATGCAAGATCAAGTGCATTCGTATTGATTATGGTTATGAATTTTAAAAAATATGACACATTTTTTACTATGGAGTTTACACGTTCTAATTTTCTTGATCTAAATTTTTGACAATTTCTGTTCACATTAGGGCGCACTCTTAAAATTCTAAAAATGTCTATAGGTAAATTCGAAGATACATATTTAAAGATACTCTTCATAAAATAAGTATTAAATTAGTTTAGATATGTATCTATGAATTTATCATGAATTAGTTCGGAAATGCATATCCGAAAACACTTCTGAACTCATTTAATATGCATTTTTATTGAAATTAGCGTAATTATCGGAGACTCTTTATTGATTTTTATCAATATCAGAGTCATATGAATTGTATCATCGCGTTCTACCCCTTGCATTCCTGCATTTCTAGTCTTTACGTGACCTAACGTAAAAATTCGGTTTTCTCTGAATCAAAATTTTACTGTGTCAATTCATCAGAAAAATCAGGGATCAAAGACCCTTATTTTGGGATAAAATACGGGACGCCACCCTAAAAATTCTAAATTATTTGTTTTTCTATTTAATTTAATTTATTTTCATATTTTCGAAAAAATTCGGGAAAATTTGTAGTTGATATAATTTGATTTTTAGTTGTGTTTTTCAGGTTTTTATAATTTTAAGTTATTCGTTTTTCTATTTTCCAATTGTTTTTCTCAATAGAAAAATTGTTGGTCTTTACATATTTGTTGTATTACTAATGTATGATTATTAGGTGTGGCGATCCGGATACATCCAATATTAAATTTTAAAAAAACACAATATTTTTCGGATATGTATATTCAAATTTATATTTTTCGGTGAATGATCCAGATACATATATGTATAGACACATTTAGGAAGCCTCTTAATCTTCAACTATTCCGATATATAATCTTTAAGCTGGTACTATGAACCATACATGAAAGTGATAAACACAAAAGAAATGAGGATTTGAATGATGTTGACCAATTAAAATCTTTAAGATGTTTTAAATGAAGTTTAAGTCAATAAAAAATGTTTGAAGGAAAATACCTAATGAAAGAGATATTGACATAGATAATTTATTAGGATTCATCCATTTAACCTAGAGTTACATCCAATTCTCTCACATACAGATATTTTCACTATAATTAGTGATTACAAAGATCACTAAGATATCTCCTAATCCAACTAACATATATTTTAGATTTCTCAACCACACAGAAGAAATCCCAACTAAATCTCTTTATCTTCTCAAATAATTTGGAAAGACTGCCCTTGAAGATTCCAATCAAATAAATGAATAAAAGAGTGTTAAGACAATATCTCTCAACATATGATGTAGACTAATACCGACATTTATACAAGTGTTTTTTTAATCTTTCAACAAAAACATATAATAATAAATCACTTGCTTATTTCTTTCTTAATTTTCAGCAGAACTTTTTCTCTAGATGTTTGAAAGTTTTTTTCTTTTCTTTTCAATTGATCCTCTTAAAGTTATCCACATAAGTGTTTCAATTTTTTTTGGGGATATTTAATGAATAAAATAGTGAATCGTTGACACTGTTATATAAATTCCTTTTAAATGAGTGTTGGATAATATTCTTAGTCAAGTAAACGAGTTGTTGAGATCTTATATTATTGCAGTAGGACATTTCATGTTCGTATCACTTGTAGTAGATCTTGTGGCACATTACATTGTATCTTTTGTTGTAAAAATCTTGCATTATTTATACCTTATGTACTAGCTAATTCTCAATTTAGAAATTTGAGAGGTACGAACTCAAGAAGGGTAGCAACTTGATCATCGATCAGAGGGTCAAATTTGTTCATTTCAAAGTTTGGAGTTGACCAGAGGAGCCTGATAGAGCTTGTGTACTTCTTTTTGGAAGATAATATTGAGAGCTTGTAGCAACGGATATTAGAGAGACTCACCACTGTTGGTGCACAAGGTTATGAAGAACAAAATGAATATAATTATGAGAATAGAGAATGACGGCGGTAAAAACTGCAAGAGGAATATTGTTGTTGTATTTATGGAATTTACAACTAGTCTATTTATACATTAAAAAAAGAATGTCACATAGGCATAATAGAATAGACTTAATAACTAAGTTATCAAAAACAACTAGAAATACTAAAATACCCATTAATACCATCCCTTAATTTAAGATTTCTAATTAAAACTAACTACACCAATTTCATCCCTTAAGCGAAGAAATTGACCCGTCTTGATTGCCTTTGTCATAATATCTGTCAGCTGCTTCTGGGTGCTACAGTGTACAACTTCTAGTACTCCGCTCTAGACTTGACTTATGAGAAAATGATACTTTATCTCAATATGCTCGCTTCTCCCATGTAGTACTGAGTTCTTGGCAAGATTGATTGCAAATTTGTTATCAATCATCAGCTTCAAAGACTTATCTACCTTGATCTTCAGATCATGCAATAGATTTAGAAGCCACACAGCTTGACATGCAGCTACAACACCTGCAATATACTCAGCTTCACATGTTGATAGAGCAGCAACATATTGATTCTTAGAACACCAAGAAATAGAACCTCCCAGAAATTTAAACAAGTATCCAAAAGTACTTCTTCTATCAACTCTATCTCCACACCAATCAGAATCAGAATAACTCATCGACTCTGAATCTGTCTTTCTTCCAGAAGGGAATAATACTCCAAACTTCAGAGTTCCCTTGATATAACTCAGAATCTTGACAGCAGCTTGGTAATGAGACCACTTAGGTTTACTCATGAACCTACTAACCATTCCAACTACATAACAAATATCAGGTCTGGTATTACACAAATACCTTAGAGAACCAACCAATTTTTTGAAGGTTGAAGCATTCATATCTTCACCATCAGAGTCAGAATCCAATTTATGATTGGTTTCTAATGGTGTGACAACATCTTTACAATTCCGCGACTTAAATCTCTTTAGAAGCTCAAGTTTATACTTCAGCTGATGCAAAATGATACCCTTCTCCGAGTACATAATCTCTATCCCTTGAAAATATACCATATTTGTCAGACCAGTCATCTCAAACTCATTCATCAGCACCTCCTTGAACTTGATTATACTTTCTGGACAACTTCCCGTTAGCAATATGTCATCAACATAGAGACATACCTAAATCATATTGCCTTCAGAATGCTGCACATAAACTCTATATTCCATCTGACACTTCTGAAAACCTTGCTTCTTGAAAAATGAATCAATCTTCAAATTCCAAGCTATGGACGCTTGCTTCAATCCATAAAGAGCTTTATGTAACTTGCACACCATCCTTTCCTGATTCTTTTTCACAAATCCAGGAGGTTATGACACGTATACCTCTTCTTGTAATGGATCGTTCAGAAATGCAGACTTCACATTTAGATGCATCAGATGCCAATTTCTATTTGCGGCTAAAGCAATCACCAGTCTGATTGTTTCATGTCTAGATACAGGTGCAAACACATTAAATTAATCTAGCCCAGGTTTCTGAAGAAAACCTCTAGCCACTAGTTTTGCTTTGTGCTTGCCAATTGATCCATCTGGCTTATATTTGACCTTGAAAACCCATCTGACACTTATGGCTTTCTTCTTATCTAGAAGCTTAGTCATCTTCCAAGTCTTGTTTCTTTCTATAGCCTCAAGTTCTTTTTTCATGGCATTCAACTATACTTTCTTCTTGAGAGCTTCTTCAATACTCACAGGTTCAGAGTCTACTAACATGGTACACTGAACAATTTCTCCTTCTGAATCTACTTCAGTGTCTTGCAACATGTCAAACTCAGCCAACCTTCTTGGTATTTATATGATTCTTTGTGACCTTTAAATTTGTTCAGAAACTCTTTTTGATTTTGGAACAATATCAACTACTTGACCACCTTCAGAAGTCGAATCACCTTCAAAACCTCTACCTTCTGAAGTTCCACCTTTAGAATCATGACCTTCATCAGAGGCTGGACTACCTTCAAAAGTTCCTTCTTCATAAGGTCCACCTATAAAGACATGATTTCCACCAGAAACATGATCATCTTCATAAGTTTGTCCTCCAGAAGCAGGACCACCATCAGATTCTGGATCATCATCAAAATCTGGATCAGAACCAGATTCACCATCTGACTCATCTTCAAAGTTTCAAGAATCATCATCTGACTCTGACACTTCTTCAAAATTTTCAAGTTCTGGCTCATCTTCAGAGATAGGTTGAGACTTGCTCCAATCCCATACTTCTGATTATTTTATAATGACGTCTCTGCTAACTTCAAATTTATTAGTTTATGGACAATAAAGCTTGTATGCACCTGTACTGTG